CCATCTGCGGAGCCAATTGTTGACATCTGCTACTTTCCTCTCTCTTCCCGGACCATGCCCTTCAACTGGCATTAGAGACGAGATGACAATCTGTGCCTCCATTTCTTTCAGCTTCTTTCCTAGAGCCTCGTAATCCCATACTAATACAATACTAAAGCATGTTTACAAAAATGTGCAAATTAAGGAGGGAAAACTTACGAAAATTTGTGATATTTGTGATAACCCATTAGCATCATTATTATTAGTAACATACTTTTGTATATTTTGAACTATGTTTTTATTGTACCTTTTTGTGTTTTGTAAGCTACCTTGAGTGTCAATGTGGGGAAAAAGTGGGGCATAAGTAAAATGCTGGATAGATAAACATGGCTATTTTACATGTTTCCTCTCACCTCAACTCTCCCCTCCAAAATACTAAGAAGTATGAGTGAAAGAACCTGAAGAGCCAAAGGTCACATAGAAAGCTTTGTTACTAAGCAGACATCTGAAATCTTGTTTCCCTGTTCCTTGTCTAGCATGTCTAACCTTTAGATTACACTATACTGCTTACCTTTGATCAATGCTTACTCCATACATGGTGTCAAGACTGAAACATAGTGGTAGAAAACATTGCAACAATTTACAGTGGCCCCTCTGTTTTCACGGACTTTGGGTCCGCGTCCCTTGCTTATGTGCAGGGGAGAAACAGAGGGGCATACAATGGGGTGCATGCCCCTGCATGCCCATTCAAGCCTGTGGGGCTTGAATATGCACAGAATTTCATTTTTGCTGAATGGATCCCCCATGAAAACAGAAGACCAACTGTATATGCTTAATTGGGATAATTTGAATATCTGCATAGAGCTTATTTTGCATACTATACAAATTCATGGCATGTAATTTAGACTATGTAGATTTGGGGAACAGGAAATGGCAACTCTAGCTTTTGTGAACTTTGTGAGTAGACAAATCTATAACACACAAGCTGATATGGATATTTAAAGAAACAACTTATACAGTTATAGTTTGCAAAGGGAAGCAGTATATCTATTTCTGTCATAGAAGGCAGGTTTTCATATTATTACGGATAAGCTGAAACTAACTGCCAATTTCTGGAGCTCTCTGGCCCCCTCCCCCTCCCTGCACCCTACTGCACATGAGCAGTGAAAAAAGAGTAACCACTGCTTACCTTACCTCTTATTTTTCTGGGAGCTGGTACAGACTGTGCTGAGAGGAAAAGGCAAGCAAATGTGCAATGGCAACACTGGTGAAAGGCAAGTGGTTAGGTAAGGGGCCTCACATCAACTTTAGTGAGTTATCCTTCCAAATAGTAAGCAGCAGGATTGCATAAAAGTTAGCAAATTCCAGCCTTAGATATAATGGGTAAAAAACACTTGACAAATCAAATTATAAGGATTTTCTTGTATTGGATTACCTTGAACCTGTATATAGAGATCATGAAATTATCAGAGATTGAAAGCAATTTATGATTATTTCTATCTATATCTACCTATATGAGAGTTAACTATATTTGACATGGCTATATTGCTATCCAGCAGTTGAGATATCAACCTGCATCTAGACTCTTGGTGGGCTTTGTCCTTGTACACTGGATTTAGATACCGAGTTCACATCTGAACCATGGCAGAATTATCACTATGATTTCCACCCATAAGTGCCATTCTGCTTATTTCAATGGAGAGAGCAGAACTCCACATGTGTTGCTTTATCACTTCCACTAAACAGTATACTACTGTATACCTGCAAGGGACCAGTGTACACATTAGTGTTTATCCATGGTTCTAGATGCATGGGACTAAATAAATTCTGATAATCCCACATACAACTCCAACTCTACAACAATTCACTGCTGGCTGTTAATTACGGAAATTTCAGTTCAAAAGTTAAGACCTAAATATCCTAAAGGCATCAGATCCCATCTGATCTTGAAAGCTAAGCAGGGCCAACCTGGGTTATTACTTGGAAGGGAGACCACCAATGAATGCTGTAGGCTATATTTCAGATGAAGGAACTGGCAAAACCATTTCTGAATATTCCTTGCCTAAGAAAACCCTATGAAATTCATGAGGTTGCCTTAACTCAACAGGCAACTTGAAGGTACACACACACACAAGCACACATACACAGAGTTCAATGCATCTGGAAAATACCTGGTTGGGAACAGCCACTACAGATTATAATGACAAAAGATTCTGCTTCATATCTCATTGTATTTATAGTTGCCCCTCCCAACTCACAGGGGATCCGTTCTAGAACCCCCCGTGAAAATGTTGGCTAATATTTGAGCCGCATTGAAACTAATGGTGTGTGCGCCTCTGGCGCACACCGATGGCCATGCACACCCATTTTAGCTATAGCTGTTGTCCCTCCCCACAAAGAGCGAGACCGCAGATCTAAAGTCTGCAAATGGTGAAAGACAACTGTATCTGTCTAGATCAACCACTCATTTATTAAACTTGACTTTCTGTTTATAACTTGACTTGCTCTCCTGTGTTAAACTTGACTTGCTCTCCTGAAGAACGAAACAGAATTTTATAGCAAAGTTATACTAATGTTTTGGAGTAATGTTTCCCAGCTTCGACTCTAAACCTCAAATAATAATTTACTGGTTCTTAATTATAATTTAATTTGGCCAATAATATGCCAGATGATTTATGTCACATCATGTGAGCACAGAAAATCTATTTTTGAAACAAACCATATATCTTCTGTTCTCCTAGCTATGCTAAGAAAGTCTTTAGAAATATGCTACTTTGTGCTACTGTTTAGGCAGATATAATAGTTCTAATAATAGATCTAATAACAGATCTAATAAAAGAGTAAGGTGGCATAGTGGTTTGAGTGTTAGACTAGAATTCTGGAGGCCAGGGTTCAAATCCTGTCTCTGCCATGTAAACCCATTGGGTGACCTTGGGCAAGTTACACTCTCTGTCTTAGAGGATGGCAATGGCAAACCCCCTCTGAAGAGACTTGGCAAGAAAACCCCATGATAGGTTCACCTTAGGGCCGCCCTAAGTCAAAAAAGACTCAAAGGCACACAACAACAACAGTAGTTCAATGTATAAAATCCGGTACTGGAGTATCTTCTAATACCCAAATGTTTTGCAGTGTCATCCCATTTTTAAGTGTTTAGGTCAAAAGATGTGAAGAAGGGGAATTTTGTATGTATCAGATTCAAAGAGCTAGAGTTAATTTATATACTATCATCGCAAAATGATTACCATGGTAATGTTAGTCCCTCCAGTTAGTTCCAGGAAATGAGCAGTAACATACATGTAGACTGAATTTTTTTGTACTTCCAACTCTACAATTATCCTGCCCCCTCACTCCATCTTGGCCTCCAACACTGCTGTTGCCAGAATCTCTAACAAAAACCCAACAGGAAGAAACTTGGAGAAAAGCAAAACTGGTGTCTCTCACTTTTGTTGTTGTATGCGTTCAAGTCATGTCCAACTAAGGTGAACTTCTCATGCAGTTTTCATGGCAAGATTTGTCCAGAGTAGGTTTGCCATAACCTCTCTATGAGGCTGAGAGAGTTTGTCCATGGTCGCTCATTCCATTGCCTTGCTTTGAGGCTGATACAGTTTGCCCAGGTCACTTACCCACTTCCACGGCTGAGTGGGATTTATTTGAACCCTGGTCCTCCAGAGTCCATAGACTGGTACTCAAATCATTATGCCACATCTCTTCTTTACTATTAGAATTCTGCAAGATATTTATGCCAGCAGCACGTAGATGGGAAAACATTCTCCTTGTCTTCACACTCTCTCTCACACACATAGAATTAGCAGCAGGGGGTGGAGATGTAGTTTCTCTCTCATTCCGCTGGGATGCTCACGTAGTAAGTGAATTCATGGAATTCTCTACATCTAGGCTCCCATGACAGACAATTCTTCCTCTTTAGGTGTGTCTATTATCATAATCAAGACTATCAGAGAATGGTTACATATCACAAAAATGAAAACCAATTGATATGGATTTTTCTTAAAACACTGGAAAAATTTGGGATTTTTCCACTTTCATAGGCTGGATGTAGCAAACTTTAAATACGAGGGGATATCGTAAAGTAATAATGATCACCCGGAAGTTATTATGGTATATTGAT